CAGGCATTGTTTTAGGTGCTGGGGATAAAAAGGTGAATAAAAAAAGTTCTTGCCCTTACGTGGTTCATGGTATGTTTGTAATGAGACTGTGTGAACCAAGTGTTGGAGGTCTCAGGAGAAAAGGAGACACACTTTGCTCGAGAGAGTCAAGGGTGGCATTTGCATGGGCATTCATAGGATGAGCGGGTTCTTGTTAGGAGAGGAGTAGGAGGAGGAGACCCAAAGGAATGTTGGGTAATCACACTACCTCCTGTTATTGCCTGATTGGCTGGGATCTGTGGGGACTTGGTAGCAATCCCACTAGCTCATTATTTCTCAATCTGCTTCACTGTCTAGGGGAGAATCCCAGTGTTGGACCCTCCCTTCCTCCATCTAAAGGGAAGGAAGAAGACAGGTGTGAGTGTAGATAGCAATTGCACTCTCTTAGCCCCAGGACGACTATGAAGAAAGAGCCTGGATATTACAGGGAAGTAGGGTCAGAGAAGTCAAGAGACCTTTGCCAACCTATGATCTCTCACTGGACTAGGGCAACTTAATTGAGAACCACTGGTCTCCATCCAATGTCAGCCGCACACTCCCATTTCTTTTTTAATTTTAGATAGACCTAAAGACGTAATATGATTTATTATGATTTGCCTACAATGGAGAGAGTCCTTGAAACTAACAGTGACCTAGCTGTGTTGAAAACTCAGGAAACTCGTGCTCAATATGTGGCGCGAGTCAGAGGCAGGATGACATGGAATGCTCGGTAGTTAAGTGTGATTGTGGAAGACTTTCTTTGTAGGTGGGCAAATAATGTTTTCTTCATATTTAGGAAGTCAGGGACAATTAAGTCAAACGCAACTCTACGGTGCAAAGTAATGAGCACACTGCAGAAAATGGTATTCGTATATTGCAAATTAGCATGAGTCTATTGCAGGAAATGGAGACCTTATGGGGAGACACAGCCTGAGGTTTTGGTGTAATTAGAGCAGATGAATCAGGAGGGTGAGAAGGAGGAGGTGAACAACTTTCTTTGTCCTTTACAGTCTAATGTTAATAATTATTACCTAGTCTTTTAGTGGTAGTAGCTCTGTAATGTCTTTGTGTCTGACGTTCAAAAGAATACTAGCATGTTTGTGCATAATATTTGCAATAGCATCTGATTGAATGCAGATGTCTCACAATTTGATCTTGTTTATGTTCAATTTATATCATATGCCAAAAGTTCCCAGGAGAACCTATATCTTGATTCAGAAAGTCTGCCGATTTTGGAAAATCTGTCTTTAGTTATACTGATTTCTCTTACAGTCTGGCTGAAACTGAAAAGACTCTTGAAGAAACCAAGAACAGATCGGCCATATCCCTTCTGGCTGCAGAGGAGGAAATAAATCAGCTAAGAAAGCAGTAAGGGGAAAAAAAAAAAGACAGGATTACGGCAGCCTCTGATTGATCATTGAATTTAGCTTTTCGGTGCTTTGTTACAATATGAAAGAAGCTATTCACAAAGAAAAGGCAGCAATATTTTTATTAACGTTTTATATACTTTCGCTTACCACAAAAACATTACCTATCTACTATAGAACATTTTCTTTCTTTTTTAAATTTAGTTTTTCAAATTTACATCCCAGTTAATTAGCACATAGTGCAATAATGATTTCAGGAGTCGAACCCAGTGATTCATCCCCTACGTATAATACCCAGTGCTCATCCCAACAAGTGTCTTCCTTAAAGCCCCTTGCCCATTTAGCCCACGTCCCCCACTCTCAACTCCTCCAGCAACCCTCAATTTGTTCTCTGTATTTAAGAGTTTCTT